CTTGGTCTTTTTGCTAAAATGTAATTCCAAGCTAGGAGAGATGCTGTGATTTCAGAGAATTTATTTTCCTCTGTAACATTATCTATTTTCCTCTGGGGTATCAATGAACCTACTGACTGCTTCGGGAATTATGTCTTTAGGATGTCTTCACCTCTTATTTCCTTAACATTTTTAAATGAATCTGTGATAGAAAAATGAACCTGAAGCCTTGCTTATGCTTTGATTCATTCAACAAATATTTATTCAAACTTGCTGATTTAGGGGCCTGGGATACAGAGTAAAATCAACAATGATCCTTGCCTTTAACAAAGTTTACATTCTGTTGGAGGCAAAGAGATAATAAATATACTTAATATCATCTTTTGTAATAATAACCATTATACCTCTGCTTGTGAAAAAAATTGCATTCAATTTTTGCTCACAATCTTTCTTTATATTTTTTTGAGACAGGATCTCACTCTGTCATCTAGGCTGGAGTGCAGTGGCACAATTATACTTCACAGTAATCTCTGCCTTTGGGGCTCAAATGATCCTCCTGCATCAGCCTGCCAAGTAGCTGGGACTACAGGTGCATGCCACAACGCCCAGCTAATTGTATTTTTTGTAGAGACAGGATTTTGCCAGGTTGCCCAGGCTGGTCTTGAACTCCTGGGCTCAAGTGATCTGCCTGCCTTGGCCTCCCAAAGTGTTGGGATTACAGGTGTGAGCCACCATGCCCAACTAATCTTCAGGGTTTTTTCTTCCTTTCCTTCCTTCCTTTCCTTCCTCTCTCTCTCTCTTTTCTTTTCTTTCTTTTTTTTTTTTTTTTTTTTTTTGACAGTCTTGCTCTGCTGCCCAGGCTGGAGTGCAGTGGCATGATCTTGACTCACTGCAATCTCTGCCTCCTGGGTTCAAGCAATTCTCTTACCTCAGGCTCCTGAGTAGTTGGGACTATAGATGCCCACCACCACAACCAGCTACTTTTTTTTTTTTGGTATTTTTAGTAAAGATGGGGTCTTGCTATATTTCCCAGGCTGGTCTCAAACTCCTGGACTCAAGTGATCTGCCTTCCTCAGCCTTCCAAGGTGCTGGGATTACAGGCATGAGGAACTGCACCAGCCTAATCTTCTATTTTCAAAAGAAAAAAAAATCCACCCACAGGTAACAGAATTCTAAAATATTACTATCTGGAGCCCTTTACTTCATTTTCCTAAGAAATGAAGAGAGAGAGAGAGGGAGAAGAGAAAGAAAAAGAAAGAAAAGAAGAAAGAAAGAGAGAAAGGAAGGAAGGATGGAAGGAAGGAAAGAAGAAAAGAAGGAAGGAAGAAGAAAGGAAGGAAGGAGGGAAGGAAGGAGGGAGGGAAGGAAGGAAAGGAAGGAGGGAAGGAGGGAAGGAAGGAACCTCTGCAGAGAAAAGAGGAGCTCAGAATGTGAAATCTCAGTAAGGTAGATGCATCTGTATAGTTTATTTTTCTTTTTTTCTTTTCTTTTCTTCTTTCTTTTTTTTTTTTTTTTGAGACAGATTCTGGCTCTGTCATCAGGCCGGAACGCAGTGTCACGATCTCAGCTCACTGGAATCTCCACCTCCAGGTTCAAGCAATTATCCTGCCTCAGCCTCCCGAGTAGCTGGTACTACTGGCACACGCCACCATGCCCAGCTAATTTTTGTGTTTTTAGTAGAGACAGGGTTTCACCATGTTGGCCCTGGCTGGTCTCGAACTCCTGACCTCGTAATCCGCCTTCCTTGGCCTCCCAAAGTGCTGGGATTACAGGTGTGAGCCGCTACACCCAGCCTGTGTCTGTATATTTTCTTTTGAATTAGGGTTAAGAAAACTTGAGTTCATATAAACTGTTTGCTACTTCAAGAATAGAGAGGGAATTTCTCCTTTCTAGGGTCAGCCTAACATAACCCTTTTAAGAAGAATGGTGTGAGATGCACTGAAGGCTTACTACTTGCCTAGCCCTATGTCTTACCTTGGGCTGCCATAACAAAATATCATAGCACAGGTTGGGTAGCTTTTTATTTTTTTAAGAGGGCCTTGCTCTGTCACCCAGGCTGGAGTGCAGAAGAGCCATCATAGCTCAGTGTAGCCTCAATCTCCCAGGCTCAAGCAATCCTTCCATCTCAGCCTCCCAAGCAGCTGGGACTATAGGCACACAGCACTAAGCCCAGCTAATGTTTTTGAGAGAGAGAGAGAGAGAGAGAGAGAGAGAGAGAGAGAGAGAGAGAGAGGGAGGGAGGGAGGGAGGGAGGGAGGGAGGGAGGGAGGGAGGGAGGGAGGGAGGGAGGGAGAGAGAGAGAGAGAGAGAGAGAGAGAGAGAGAGAGAGAGAGAGAGAGAGAGAGAGAGCTCTCTGGAGTCTCTTCTTATGAGGACACTAATCCCATCATGCAGGCCCACCCTCATCACCTCGAATAAACCTAATCACCTCCAAAGGCCTCATCTCAAAATAGCATCTCATTAGGGTTTAGGGCTTCAACATATGAATTTTGGGGAGTCACAATTTAATCCATAGCACCCTGTTGGAACGTTTCCCTCACTGCTACCAATTTCACAACACCCCTCAAGAAGACACCGGGGCTTAGACAGGTTAATTAAATCGCCCAAAGTTACACAGCTCGTGAGTTTGGAGCTAAGCTGAGGTTTTTACTTAGATATGAACTAAAAATCTCTTCAAGATAAAATGGTGGCCAGATATGGTGGCTCATGCCTGTAATCCCAGCACTTTGGGAGACCAAGTTGGGCATATCACTTGTGGTCAGGAGTTCAAGACCAGCCTGGCCAACATGGTGAAACCCTGTCTCTACTAAAAGAAAAAAAAATAATTAGCCGGGCCTTGAGGTTCAAATATGTAGTCACAGCTACTTGAGAGGCTGAGGCAAGAGAATTACTTGAACCTGGGAAGTGGAGGCTGCAGTCTGAGATCACAGCACTGTACTCCATCCTGGGTGAAAGAGCAAGACTCTGCCTCAAAAATAAAATAAAGAAAATAAAAGAAAAATAAAATGGTGCTTCTAATACAAACTTCTCAGAAGGAAAACACTCAGTTTCTAAGAAGATGATCATATGCTTTTCATGGAAATGTTTAGACACTCTCAGCTGGAAGGGATCGCCTTTGACAAACCCCATCAAGTACCTAATAGTTCAAGACCAGCCTGGGCAACTGTGAGACCTTGTTTCTACAAAAAATGTTTCCTAGGCTAGTATAGAACTCCTGGGCTCAAGCTATCCTCCTACCTCAGCCTCTCAAACTGCTGGAATTATAGGCATGAGCCATACTTTTGGGTCAAATATTCTTAATAATTTAGGGTGCTACAAGTACTCATGTTCATTACAGTTAGCAACTGGACTTAATTTAAAGAACCTTGTCAAAGACTAAGCGATTATCTCAATGCTCACTTCAGCAACCCCAACAAATGTGTATGCTTTTATATATACGATTTTTTGGAGTTGTAATTTGTGCACATGTTTTTTAATACTGTCTTATAAAATACATAGTGCTGGCTGGGTGAGGTGGCTCACACCTGTAAACCCAACACTTTGGGAGGCCGAGGTGGGCAGATCACTTGAGGTTAGGAGTTCAAAACCAGCCTGGCCAACAGGGTGAAACCCCATCTCTACTAAAATATAAAAATTAGATGGGTGTAGTGGTGCGTTCCTGTAATCTCAGCTGCTCAGGAGGCTGAGGTAGAAGAATCATTTGAATCCGGGTGGCAGATGTTGCAGTAAGCCAAGATTGTGCCACTGCACTTTAGCCTGGGCAACAGAGTAAGACTCCATATCAAAAATAAAATTGAAAAAAACCATAGTGCTGAAAGGGATAAGTCATATCTCACCAAAGTAATAAAATTTGACAGTCAGAATACATGGAATGTTCTAACTGCTGGTTATTTCTAGCCCTTCTAGTTGACCTGACAGTAGTCTACATGAGCAATTCAGAAGAGGGTTTTTCTTTCTTTCTTTCTTTTTCTTTCTTTCCTTTCAAGGCTCTATGCTTCAGTGGCTTTTTTTTTTTTCCCTTTCCTTTCAAGGCTCTATGCTTCAGTAGCTTTATAGGTCAATAATATGTAAAAACAGTAATAAAAAATTACAACGGGACATGGTGGTTCAAGCCTATAACCCCAACACTTTGGTTCAAGCAAGGAGAGAGTAATTGGTTTCAGACCAGGCTGGGCAACATAGTTATACCTTGTCTCTACAAATAAAAATAATAATTAGCTGGAAATGGCGGCATGTGCCTATAGTAGCAGCTACTCAGTAGGCTGGGAGGAGAGGATTGCCTGATCCCAGGAAGTCATGGCTGCAGTGAGCAGTGGTCCTGACATTGCACTCTAGCCTCCCCCGATCCTCTTCCTTCCTTTTCTCTCCCCCATACAAGAACACAGCTTCTTGTCTACAAGCCAGGAAGACAGCCCTGATTAGGTGATTAAGCTTAGTTGAGGTGATGAGGATGGGTCTGCATGATGGGATTAGTATCCTCATAGAAGAGACTCCAGAGAGCTCTCTTTCCCTCTCCCTTCCCACTCCTTCTCCATCTCCCTCCCTTTCCCCCATCCTCTTTCCTCCTTTTCTCTCTTAAACAAGAATATAGCTTCCTGTCTACAAGCCAGGAAGACAGCCCACACCAGAACCCAACCATGCTGGCACCCTGATCTCACACTTCCTGGCTTTCACAACTGTGAGTAATAAATGTTGTTTAAGTCACCTAGGCCGAGTCTGGGGACTTACACTATAATCCCAGCAGTTTGAAAGGCTGAGGTGGGAGGAGGCTGAAGCTCAGAGTAAAAGACCAGCCTGGGCAATGGTGAGAACTTTTTTCTACAAAAAAATGTTTTTTAAAAATTAGCTGGGCTTGGTGGAGTGTGCCTATAGTCCCAACTGCTTGGGAGGCTGAGATGGAAGGATTGCTTGAGCCTGGAAGATTGAGGCTACAGTGAGCTATGATGGCTCTTCTGCACTCCAGCCTGGGTGATAGAGCAAGGCCCTCTTAAAAAAAAAAAAAAAAAAAAAGAATAAGAAACTTATACTGGAGCATTTCAGAGCTACAGCAGAATCAAGAGTATGATACAGAATTGATACTTTTAAAGAACAAAGTCCACCAGCCCCAAGTATAATACATAAGATTAGCTCATTCCTTCCTATATTACCTAATCTTTAACATTGCACCAATTTAGCCCTAATATGAACAGAGGTCATTAAACAAGCAGGAGCCAGCTCTTTCCTGAGAATATCCAGGCTGTTGCTTTTTTTTTTTTTTTTAGGAAGGCACTTGTTTTCAAAAAGCAGTTTTAAAATTAGTTTTAAGGGCCAGGCAGAGTGCCTCATGCCTGTAATCCCAGCACTTTGGGAGGTTAAGGCGGGCAGATGACTTGAGCCTAGGAGTTAGAGACCAGCCTGGGCAACATGGTGAGGTCCTGTCTCTACAAAAAATACAAAAATAATCTGGGCATGGTGGTACATACCTGTAATCCCAGCTACTTGGGAGGCTAAGACAGGAGAATCTCTTGAATCCAGGAGGTGGAGGTTGCAGTGAGCCAAGATCGTGCCACTGCACTCCAGCCTGGGCGACAGAGTGAGATTCTGTCTCAAAAAAAAAAAAAAAATTAGCCAGGAATGGTGCTGTGCACCTGTATCCTAGCTCCTTGGGAGACTGAGGTGGGAGGATTGCTTGAGCCCAGGAGTTTGAGACTGCAGTGAGCTAATGATCATTCCATTGCATTCCAGCCTGGGCAATACAGCAAGTCTCTTTTTTTAAAAAAAAAAAACTTTGGAAGGCCGAGGCAAGCAGATCACAAGGTCAGGAGATCTAGATCATCCTGGCCAACATGGTGAAACCCTGTCTCTACTGAAAAAATACAAAAATTAGCTGGGCGTGGTGGTGCATGCCTGTAATTGCAGCTACTCGAGAGGCTGAGGCAGGAGAATCACTTGAACCTGGGAGGCGGAGGTTGCAGTGAGCCGAGATCACGCCATTGCACTCCAGCCTGGCGACAGAGTGAGACTCTGTCCCTCCCCCCAAAAAAAAGGTATTAGGACTCCAGCACTAATACTGGTAGGCATTCATAAATGTTTGCGGAAGAAAGAATGCAAGCATGCTTAGTGGGCCCAGTGAAAAGTATAGCCCTTTTCCTTTAATATACTAGAACTTCATTGTCATTGTTTATTTTTTGTGCAAAATGTGCTTGAATTTTTTTTTTTTTTTTTTTTTTTTGAGACAGGGTCTCACTGTCACCCAGGCTGGAGCACAGTGGCACAATCTTGGCTCACTGCAACCTCTGCTTCCTGGGCTCAAGTGATTCTCCAGACTCAGCCTCACAAGTAGCTGGGACTACAGGTGTGTGCTACTGCACCTGGTTAATTTTTGTATTTTTGTAGAGACGGGGGGTCTCACCATGTTGCCTAGGCTGGTGTCAAACTCCTGGGCTCAAGTAATCTGCCCACCTAGGCCTCCCAAAGTGCTGGGATTACAGGCGTGAGCCACTGGGCCCAGCCACAGATTTTTAATAGGAGTTGCATATATAAAGCAATTAAGACAACCCATTTCTAACTTTACTACATGAAGTACCTTATCCCAGATAATTAGAAGAGATTATATATTGGTTTTCTTGCCCAACTAGTTATCCCAGTTATAGATCTCCACTAACAACAAACTTAACCATTACATTCACTGGCTGCTGGATAGTATATCTTTGGGTCACAATTAAATAAGTAGATCGATAAAATGTAGCAAAATAATCTTCTCTGGAGAACCAACATTTCTCTAACTGTATCAAGGAATCATAGACTATCTTTTGAAAATGTCAGTGGGAAGAATCATACCCCTGAGCTATACAGTTCTGAGCACGTTAACAGTAAAATAATAATTGGATATTAGAAAACGTATTCATAAGTATGAAATTTGTTTCAAATAGATATTTTTGCTAAATACTTCTTTTTTTGAGACAAGATCTCAATGTGTTGTCCAGGCTGGAGTGCAGTGGTGCAATCACAGTTCACTGCAGTCTTGACCTCCTGGGCTCAAGTGATTCTCTTGCCTCAGCCTCTTGATTAGCTGGGACTACAGGTGTGCACCACCACATGTGGCTAATTTGTGTATTTTTTGTAGAGACAGGGTCTTACCATGTTGCCCAGACTGGCCTTGAACTCCTGGACTCAAGAGAGCCAACCTCAGGTGAGAGCCACCACGCCCAGTCACATTTTTGCTAAATTCTTTACACTGGCGAATCTCAAAGAATTCTCTTATCACCAAACCATATCCTGCTAAGTGTACAATTAACCTGTGAACTTCAGTCAGACATTTTCAGTCAGGCATTAGTTATGTGAGGCCACCAAATGCCAAGTGTTAAATTGTTACTCAAAGATAAATGACACTTGAGTGTGCTGAGTTTATACCTCTAAAAATGCTTATAATACCATAAGACTTGTGTGCCAATGTGTCTGGCTGCCAACGTATCTATAGCTGAGCCCACAAGAATTAGTCTCTAGAGCCTCTGTTTCCAAGGAAGTCAATCTCTAGATTCCCATATTGGCTGCACAATGGAATAAGCCAGGGGCTATGAAAAATACTGATGCCTGTTGAAGCTTGGTGGAGCTGGGGGTGGAGTATAGGGCAGTGATGATCAGAAATAAATAGAAGTGGAAGTCCTTAGTGTTATTGGTGGCAACATTGAAATGAGGGTTGTTTATTGTATAATGAAGTATTTTTCATATGAAGTCATTCCACTGTATTTATTCTTATTTTAACCATACAACTAAGTAATAAAGGAAATGAAATATTGTTCTATATTTTTAAAAACTACTTATACCTGGATCTCACCCCCCAGAGATTCTGATTTAACTGATCTAGGGTGTGGTCTGGGCATCAGGACTTTTTCAAGCTCCAAGTGATTCTAATGTGCAGCAAAGTTATGAACTATTGCTTTAGGGCCTTTGTGTTCTTCGAGAATACAAAGAAAATTCAGAGGGATAGGTTAAAAACACTCACTGTTCCTCCGTTGCTCTGACATCTATCAGCAAATAAGCTATAACAGGAGATACAGGGCTTTGGGTGTTTTCTACTCCAGATTCTTTTCCTGTCCTCTTTTAGTCACCAGGGTTTTAAGAATTTTTATTTATTTATTTACTTACTTGAGATAGTGTCTTGCTCTGTTGCCCAGGCTGGAGTGCAGTGGCACGATCTCAGCTCACTGCAACTTCTGCCTCCTGAGTTCAAGTGATTCTCTTGCCTCAGACCTCCAAGTAGCTGGATTACAGGTGCACACCACCTCACCTGGCTAATTTTTGTATTTTTAGTATAGACAGGTTCCACCATGTTAGCCAGGCTGGTCTCAAACTCCTGACCTCAGGTAATCCGCCCACCGCAGCCTCCCAAAGTTCCAGGATTATAGGTGTGAGCCACCGAGCCCAGCCTAATGATTGATTGACTGATTGATTGCAAGACAGGGTCTCACTCTGTTGCCCACGGTGGAGTGCAGTGGTGAGATCATAGCTCACTGCAGCCTCAAACTCCTAGGCTCAGGTGATACTCCTACCTCAGCCTCCTGAGTAGCTGGGACTAGGGATATGTGCCCCCACTCCCAGCTAATTAAAAAAAAACCTGTAGAGTTACGGTCTTGCTTTGTTGGTCTCAAACTCCTGGCCTCAAATAATCCTCCTGCTTTGGCCTTCTAAATTGCTGGGATTACAGATGAGAACCACCACACTTGACTGTCACCAGGGTTTTCTAGTACAATAATTGCTTGAGGCTTTTTCTGCTACTTAGACTTAAAGCAATGTTCCCAGTTCAGGTGAAAAATGGTCACCTCGAAGATGGAAAAGCTGAGTCTGAGAAAGAGTAGTAGCTTTATATTCTACAGAAGAAATGCTGTCCAGGACAGTCGACATTCACTTCCTTGATTCAGATACTCATTTCTTAACCACAATTACCCAATTTGAGCCATGCCTCTATAATCAAGTATCAAGGTCTGCAGTTCTAACTCCTAAATCTCCCATTTCAGTTTCCTTTTGCCTTCTGTGTTCCACTGCTTAGGGATGGGATTACATGTGTGAGCCACCACACTGGCCCTGTGCACAGTATTAACCAGTAGAACCAGCATTCCTCATATAAAAGCACATTGTTAGCCTTCCAACTGTTCTTTGCAATCCAGCTAACATCCCTTCAAAACACACTACAGGGTAATCTTTTACTTATTTATTTTTTGAGACAGGGTCTGGCTCTGTCTTCCAGGCTGGAGTGCAGTGGCATGATCTCAGCTCACTGCAACCTCCACCTCCCAGGTTCAAGCAATTATCCTGCCTTGGCCTCCCAAGTAGCTAGGAGTACAGGTGCATGCCACCACACCAGGCTAGTGTTTTTTTGTTTGTTTGTGGAGATGAGTTTTTGCCATGTTGCCCAGGCTGGTCTTGAACTCCTGAGCTTGAGCAATCTGCCTACCTCGGCCTCCCAAAGTGCTGAGATTATAGGCATAAGCCATCATGCCTAGCCTGGGGTTATCCTTTATAAGGCAAATCTGATATTACTACTTCTTGGTTTAATAATTCTAATGCTCCATTCCTTTAAGGATCAAGTGTATACTTCTCAAGCTCTACTACTAAACCATCAGCCATTCCTCCAAGCATGTCTCTGACCTCATGGCTCTCTGTGCTTGCACAGACTACCTGCTACTATGAATTTTCAAAATCATTTCTTTGCTCCTTAGTCTGAATTGTACACTAAGCCAGTGGGCACTCCCTCAACAGCCCACACTCACTTCTGTAATAGCACCTAACACCCAGCATTAGGATTCTCACTATAATTGACTGTGAGCTTATGCAGAGTGGGGGCTGCATCTTTGCCTCTTTCCTTTGAGTTTCACACAAAACCTGGTACATATTAGGTGTTAATATTTGTTGAATGAATGCTATATCATTTTACATGTCTATGCTTTGTACATGCTGTTACTGTTCACTGGGTACATCTAATCTCCATGCACAGTGTTTTTGTTTGTTTGGTTTTTGGTTTTTTTTTTTTGAGACAAGATCCTGCTCTGTCACCCAGGCTGGAGTCCAGGAGCCTCCAGCTCCTGGGCTCAAGCAATCCTCCCACCTCAGCCTACCAAGTAGCTAGGATTACAGCTGTGCTGTAATCCTAAAATTTGCCAGCACACATGGCAAATTTTTTAATTTGTTGTAGAGATGGGATCTTGCTATGTTCCACAGGCTGGTCTCAAACTCTTGGCCTCAAGGGATCCTCCTGCTTCAGCCTCCTAAAGCACTGGGATTACAGGCATCAGCAATGGCACCTGGCCCCATGCACAGTATTTATGCCTCCATTGAAACCTGGCTGAAGCATTTTTTTTCTCTGTGAAGCATTGCTGGACTTGGTTCCCAAGACAGTGATGATCATGGCCACCTTTTAGCCACCATTATATTTTATATATACTTCTAATCAGAGTATCTACCATTTAGTGCTGCAAAAATCTCTCCTCATGTGTCTCCTTTACTAGACTATAGACAGCTAGTGGCAGCAACCTATTTTATTTATCTTCATATTCTGAGCACTTATTATATAGTAGGCAACTCATAATTAAGTGTTCACTTTTCCATGTTGTAATTAAGCCTTCAGCGCTTCTTTTACACCATAAACAGATTGTTCTAAAACAAAATTCAGATCATTTTTTTTTTTTTTGAGATAGAATCTTGCTCTGTTGCCCAGGCTGGAGTGCAGTGGCACCATCTCAGCTCACTGCAACCTCTGCCTCTCAGGTTTAAGCGATTCTTGTACCTCAGCCTCCTGAGTACTGGGACTATAGGCACGCACCACCACGTCCAGTTAATTTTTGTATTTTTAGTAGATACGGAGTTTTGTCATGTTGGCCAGGCTAGTCTTGAACTCCTGGGCTCAAGCAATCCACCCGCCTCAGCCTTTCAAAGTGCTGGGTTACAGGCATGAGCCACTATGCCTGACCCAGATGGTGTTTGTCTCATGCATTAAAATTTTCAGGGATTTCACTTTACCTAGAGTGGCCTTTCTCAAAGTATAGCATCTGGACCCCTGCTGGCACACATGATTATTTTCACATGATACGTAATAGTTCTTTTTATTTTTTATTTTTTGAGATGGAGTTTCACTGTTGTTACCCAGGCTGGAGTGCAATGGCCCAGTCTCAGCTCACTGCAACCTCCACCTCCTGGGTTCAAGCGATTCTCGTGCTTCAGTCTCCCAAGTAGCTGGGACTACAGGCGTTCACCACCATGCCTGGCTAATTTTTGTATTGTTAGTAGAGCTGGAGTTTCCCCATGTTGGTCAGGCTGGTCTAGAACTCCTAACCTCAGGTGATCATGCCTTGGCCTCCCAAAGTGCTGAAATTATAGGAGTGAGCCACTGCACCCAGCCAGTTTTTTTAATTTTAATGGTTATTTTAATTGTGTTAGAAAAATTGAAATCTACCAAATGAATTATTTTATGGATGCTTTTGCTTATGGCAGTTAAGATTTCTTTTAAGTTAGTAATTTAAAATAAATTTAAAGAAAAATATTGAGTAAATATTAGTACATACTCATATAACAAAAGTCAAAACTCCGTCATATTTGTGAAACCCTAATGTATAGGATTAAAATCTTACACATCTTCTAAATCCAGTGTACAGATCCTTCACATCAACCCTGATTGCCTTTTCAACTTCACCCCCTCTTACTGCCATTGAATGTGCTGTAAGTCATGCCAGTAATCAACAGATTCCATGTGACTTCCCCTGACTCCTTTCAGTCTATTCATTACACAATAGCCCAATGCCCAAGAGATGCTGTTAAGAAGTATGTCAAAGCCGGGCACAGTGGCTCACGCCTTAATCTCAGCATTTTGGGAGGCTGAGGCAGGCAATACACCAGAGGTCAGGAATTTGAGACCAGCCTAGGCAACATGGCAAAACCTCGTGTCTACTAAAAATACAAAAATTAGCTGGATACGGTGGCACACACCTGTAATCCCAGCTACTCGGGAGGCTGAGGTAGGAGAATTGCTTGAACCCAGGAGGCGGAGGTTGCAGTGAGTTGAGATCGCCCACTGTACTCCAGCCTGCCTGGGTGACAGAAGGAGGCTCCGTCTCAAAAAAAAAAAAAAAAAAAAAAGTCAAATCAGGTCACTACTCTGCTCAAAACTATCCAATAACCATGGTTTTATTTCTAGGAGATGCACGGTTAACTATCAGGAGTGACATACCACTAGATCTGGAATTTAACTTAAAATGGTTCAGAGAAGGCGGGATGCTATGGTTCACACCTGTAATGCCAGCACTTTGGAAGGCTAAGGAGGAAGGGCCGCTTGAGCCCAGGAGTTTGAAACCAGCCTGGGCAATCTAGTGAGACCCTGTCTCTACAAAAATTTTTTTAAATTAGCCAGGCACAGTGCTAGTACCTACAGTCTCAGCTACTAGGGAGGCTAAGCCAGAAGGATCCTTGAAGCACAGAGTTCAGTGAGCTATTATTGCACCACCATACTCAGCATGGGCGACAGTACAAGACCTGTCTCAAAACAACAATATATATATGTAAATATATATATTTATGTACAAAAAATATATATACAAATATATATTTATGTATAAAATATATATGTATACATATATAAACATATATGTATACATATATATTTTATACATATATATTTGTGTGTGTGTGTATATGTGTGTGTGTGTGTATCTCAGGTGTGGTGGCTCACACCTGTAATTCCAGCACTTTGGGAGGCCAAAACAGGCAGATCACTTGAAGTCAGGAGTTCGAGATCAATCTGGCCAACATGGTGAAACCCTGTCTTTACTAAAAATACAAAAATTAGCCAGGCATGGTGGCAGGCGCCTGTATTCCAAGCTACTCGGGAAGCTGAGACACAAGAATAGCTTGAACCCAGGAGGTGGAGTTTGCAGTGAGATGAGATTGTGCCACTGCACTCCAGCCTGGGCCACAGAGTGACTCTGTCTCTAAAAAAAAAAAAAAATGAGAATGAGAAAGCACCTTATGTCATGACATGACACAGACTTCAACATATAAAGTGGCTGGGCACAGTGGCTCACACCTATAATCCCAAAATCTAGGGATACTGAGGTGGGAGGATCACTTGAGGCCAGGAGTTGGAGATCAGGCTGAGCAACACAGTAAGACCCCATCTCTAAAAAAAAATAAAATAAATTTGAGGCTGCAATGAGCTATGATTTTACCACTTCCCTCTTAGCCTGGGTGACAAAGCAGAATCCCATCTCTAAAAATAAAAATAAAAATAGAAAATAAGAATAAATAGTCCAGAGAACAGAACTCACATACACACAGAGATACAGATAAACCAAATATGGCAAAATGTCAGCAATTGATGAATCTAAGAAGTAGATGAATTTATTTTCTATGTATTTTTCTTTAAAGTTTTTTATATTTGGAAAATTTTATAATAAAAAGTTGTGAGGAAAAATAAGATGGTTTGATTTACAGAAGGATGGATAGATTAACATGATAAAATTAATATAGTAGGTTGTAAATAGTTGAATGTAGATTACTGTACAACTTTTAAAACTTTTGTGCTGGGCACGGTGGCTCACACCTGTAATCCCAGCACTTTGGGAGGCCAAGGTGAGCAGATCACCTAAGGTCTGGAGTTAGAGGCCAGCCTGACCAACATGGAGAAACCCCATCTGTACTAAAAATACAAAATTCGCTGGGCGTGGTGGTGCATGCCTTTAATCCCAGCTATTCACGGGGCTTAGGCAGGAGAATCACTTGAACCTGGAAAGTGGAGGTTGCAGTGAATCGAGATCGTGTCACTGCACTCCAGCCTGGGCAACAAGAGTGAAACTCTGTCTCAAAAAAAAAGAGAGGCAAAATTAGGGAGACAGTAAAACAGATCACTGGTTTCCTGAGGTAAGTGGGGAGGGAAGGATGAATAGGTAGAGCACAGAGGACATTTGGGTCAGTGAAACTATCTTTTATGATACTACAATCATGGATGCATGTCATTATACATTTGCCCAAACCCATAGAATGCACAATACCAAGAGTGAACCCTAATGTGAATTACAGACTTTGGGTTCTAATAATGTGTCAGTGTAGGTTCATCGATTGTAACAAAGGTACCACTCTGGTGGGGGATGTTGATGCTGGGAGAGGCTGTGCATGTGTGGGGATAGGTATACTTTTGGCACAACTTCTTTGTGAATTTAAAACTGCTTTGAAAAACAAAATCTACTAAATCAGTCAATTAATCCCTCACTATTTCACCATCTCCTTCACCTTATGGTGAACTCAAAGTAACAAACAGGGCCGCAAGGCCCTATGCAATCTGGCCTCCCTCCACATTCCTGCTGCCCTCCCTCTTGCTTACTCTGCTCCAGCCATGCTGGCCTCCTTGCCAGCTAGAATGCCAGGCATGCTGCCCCTCAGGGCCTTTGCACCTTCTGTGTTCTCTCCCAGGAACACTCTTCCCCAGGAGAGCTTCCCTGCTTCTCTGCCATCTTCCTTCAGGTCTTTAATCAAATGTTACCTTCTTTGTGAGGGCTTCCCCACCACTCTAATTAAACATGCAGCTTTGGGTGGGCACAGTGGCTCACGCTTGTAATCCTAGTGCTTTGGGAAGCCTAAGTGAAAGGATTAGTTGAGTCCAGGAGTTCAAGACCAGCCTGGGCAACACAGCAAAACCCCGCCTCTATTAAAAACTTTTAAAGATGGCCAGGCGTGGTGGCTCACACCTGTAATCCCAGCACTTTGGGTGGCCAAGCCGGGTGTATCACGAGGTTAGGAGTTCAAGACCAGCCTGGCCAACATGGTGAAACCCCATCTCTACTAAAAATACAAAAATTAGCCAGGTATAGTGGCAGGTGCCTGTAATCCCAGCTACTTGGGAGGCTGAGGCAGGAGAATCACTTGAACCTGGGGGGCAGAGGTTGCAGTGAGCCAAGATCATGCCATTGCACTCCAGCCTGGGCAATGAAGTGAGACTCCATCTCAGAAAAAAAAAAAAACTTAAAAAAATTAGCTGGGCATGGAGGCATGTGCCTGTAGTCCCAGCTACTTGGGAGGCTGAGGCAGGAGGATCACTTGAGCCTGGGAGTTTAAGGCTGCAGTGAACTATGATTGCACCACTGCACTCCAGCCTGGGTGACAGAATGAGAACCTGTCTCTAAATTTAAAAAAAAAAAATGCAGCTTCCCCCAACGCTTCCTATTTTCTTTTTTGCTTTATTTCCTACCAGAGGATTAATCACCATCTAACATACTATATATTTTACTTACTTCATTTTTGGTCTGCCTCCCTCCAAGTAGAATGTAAGCTCTATGAGGGTGGAGATTTTTGCCATTTTGTTTACTGCTACACCTCATTGCCATATCATAGAGCTCAGCACTTGATAGGCTCTCAATATTTATTGGATGAATAAATGAATAGCTTATTGCAAGTTTTCTCATGCTTCGAAATATTTGCTGTACTGTTTTTTTTTTTACTTGGAATCACATTCCTCCATGGTCAGGAGAAAAATCCCACTCAGCCTCCAAAACTCAGCTAAAGAAACCCTCTTCTGTGAAGTTCACTCTGACCCTAGGCAAACCAGATAGGAATCTCTTCTCTGAATTACATTATACTTCCGGTAGGTCCCTTATCACAGTATTTGTCATCTGTATGGCCCCTTAGAAGGTTCATATTCATCCTGTAGGACCTTTGTACCTGGATTATAATAGCAGGCACTCAAAAACATTTGTGAAATGAAATAATAAATGAATGAATAACTTAAAGTAATCAATATGTAGCTTAGTATGAAAGTGTGTAGTATGTACATAATTTAAAGAATTACTTAAAGATACTCTTATGAATTTGACACTAATACTTTTTATTATAGCTTACTCAAGATACAAGTTAGTGACTAATACTATCCAAAGGTCAAGATAATTGTTTAGCAATTAATGTAAAAGGTTATGTTTGCTTTCATGTTTCTTCCATGTTATTTCAGAAGGTTTTTTTTTTTTTACTTTACCTGCTATTTGTCTTTTCATATTCATATTAGTTTAGCCTGGAGAGTATCATCATGGGTGCTAAAGACTAGGCAGGTTTGGTAAACAAAGCATTAATGCCAAAAACCACTGTGGGAAGGGGTGACCTGGAACAGACAAAAATAGCATGGGTCTATATCACATATGAATTACATATATGTGTATATTATATATACACACGTGTGTATATTACATATATACATATATATTACATATATATCTCCATATATACAATTTGTATCAAGGATCTCTTTGTGTATTAAGTCTTCCTTGATCCTAAGTAGACAATAAAAATAGTATAGTATTATAAAATATTAACCTTTTAGTTATAAAATATTATAAAACTAGAAAAACCTCACTCTTTAAAAAAATTTTTTTAATTTTTATTTAATTTTTTATTTTTTATTTTTTGAGACGGATTTTCACTCTTGTTACCCAGGCTGGGGTGCAGTGGTGCGATCTCAGCTCACTGCAACCTCCGCCTCCTGGGTTCAGGCAATTCTCTTGCCTCAGCCTCCTCAGTAGCTGGGATTACCCGCACGCACCACTGTGCCCAGCTAATTTTTTTGTATTTTTAGTAGAGATGGGGTTTCACCATGTTGACCAGGATGGTCTCGATCTCTTGACCTCGTGATCCACCCACCTCAGCTTCCCAAAGTGCTGGGATTACAGGTGTGAGCCACCGCGCCCGACCTGAACGTGCAGGTTTGTTATGTAGGTATATATGTGCCATGGTGGGAAAAACCTAAAACCTAACTCTTTTTCTTTTCTTTTTAATTGCATTTTAGGTTTTGGGATACATGTGAAGAACATGCAAGATAGTTGCATAGGTACACATGTGGCAGTGTGATTTGCTGCCTTCCTCCCCTTCACCTATATCTGGCATTTCTCCTCATGCTATCTCTCCCCGACTCCCCACCCCCCACTGTCCCTCCCCTATTTCCCCGCAACATACCCCAGTGTTTAGTGATCCCCTCCCTGTGTCCATGTGTTCTCATTGTTCAACACCCGCCTATGAGTGAGAACATGCAGTATTTCATTTTCTGTTCTTGTGTCAGTTTGCTGAGAATGATGTTCTCCAGGTTCATCCATGTCCCTACAAAGGACACGAACTCATCGTTTTTGATGGCTGCATAGTATTCCATGGTGTATATGTGCCACATTTTCCCTGTCCAGTCTATCATCGATGGGTATTTGGGTTGGTTCCAGGTCTTTGCTATTGTAAACAGTGCTGCAATGAACATTCATGTGCATGTGTCCTTATAGTAGAACGATTTATAATCCTTTGGATATATACCCAGTAATGGGATTGCTGGGTCAAATGGAATTTCTATTTCTAGGTCCTTAAGGAATTGCCACACTGTCTTCCACAGTGGTTGAACTAATTTACACTTCCACCAACAGTGTAAAAGTGTTCCTTTTTCTCCACATCCTCTCCAGCATCTGTTGTCTCCAGATTTTTTAATGATCACCATTCTAACTGGAGTGAGATGGTATCTCAATGTAGTTTTGATTTGCATTTCTCTAATGACCAGTGATGATAAGCATTTTTTCATGTTTGTTGGCCTCATGTATGTCCTTTTTTGTAAAGTGTCTGTTCATATCCTTCACCCACTCTTGAGTGGGCTTGTTTTTTTCTTGTAAATCTGTTTGAGTTCTTTGTAAATTCTGGATATCAGCCCTTTGTCAGATGGGTCTTTTTTTTTTTTTTTGAGATGGAGTCTTGCTCTATTCCCTCAGCTGGAGTGCATTGGCGTGATCTCTGCTCACTGCAACCTCTGCTTCCTGGCTTCAAGTGATTCTCTTGTCTCAGCTCCCAGGTAGCTGGGATTACAGACATGTACCACCATACCCAGCTAATACTTGTATTTTTAGTAGAGATGGGGTTTCACCATGTTGACCAGGCTGGTCTCAAACCCCTGACCTCACGATCCGCCCACCTCAGTTTCCCTAAGTGCTGGGATTACAGGGGTGAGTCACCATGCCTGGCCTCTTTTTCTTTTTTTTAGAGACAGGTTCTTGCCATGTTGCCTACGTTGGTCTTGAACTGTTGGCCTCAAGCTGTCCTCCCAAAGTGGTCTCCCAAAAGTATTGAGATTATAGGCATGAGCCACTGTGCCTGGTCAGAACCTTTTTTTTTTTAGACAGGTTCTCACTCTGTCTCCCAGGCTGGAGTGCAGTAGCACAATCTTGGCTTGCTGCAGCCTTGAGTTCCTGGGTCCAAGTGATCCTCCCACTTCAGCCTCAGCTGGGACTGCTAGCATGTGCCACCATGCCTGGCTAATTTTTGTATTTTTTGTAGGGATGGGATCTCTCCATGTTTCCCAGTCTGGTCTTAATCTCCTGGATTCAAGCGATCCTCCCACCCTGGCCTCCCAAAGTGTTGGGATTATAGGTATAAGACACTGTACCCAGCAGAACCTCTTAGAGAAGACACAGCTCATCTGTTACAGGCCCATTAAGTGAGCACTATTTGTGTCCTGTACTGTGTTATGTGCTCTTATTATTTCATTTAAATCTCATGACTGTCCCATGAGTGAGATATTACCAGCTCTGTTTTAGTGATGGGAAAGCAGATTAACTCATCCATAGTCACACAGCTAGTAAATGGTAAAACTGGGATTTGTGCCTACATTTTTCTGCCCATGTTTTATTAAGGACTCCTTTAATGTATTCCTGATAAGAATCCTCCATATAATTTTTTAAATAATCATGTCATGTAAAATAAATCAAGTGCATTGACTGAATAAACTGAAATCTTCTCATATTTCAACTAATGATGGAAACCTTGCAGCTCAGGAGGAGGAAAAAGACAACAGGAAGGAGAAGAAAGAAGAAGAAAGAGAGGGAAAAAAATTAAAGACAAGGTCTGAGAATTAAAGGAAGTTTAATTTTATAGTAAGAGCTTGGGTTTGATCCTCTGTTCTTCAGTCTGCTGGTTATATTATCTTGGGAACATTAATTTCTGCAAAGTCTTAGTTTCATGAAAATGGAGATAACTTTGATTGTCTGACAGTATAATGGCTATCTCTCTCTCCCACTAGACTATAAGTATCATGAGGGCAGAGGATATGTCTGATTTTGCTCACTGGTTTTTGTCTTCTCCGACATGATTAGTGAGACAGTCTGCTCAAGCAAAAAGAATTTTTTTTTTTCTGAGACAGAATCTCACTCTGTCACCCAGGCTGGAGTGCTGTGGTGTGATCTTGGCTCACTGCAACCTCCACCTCCTGGGTTCAAGTGATTCTCCTGCCTCAGCCTCCCAAATACCTGGGATTACATGTGTGTGCCACCACAGCCAGCTAATTTTTGTATTTTTACTAAAGACGGGGTTTCACCATGTTTGCCAGCCTGGATCAGACTTGCTGGTCTTGAACTCTTGACCTTGTGATCTGCCCACCTCAGCCTCCAAAAGTGCTGGGATTATAGGCATGAGCCACTATGCCCAGCCAAAATAAAATCATTTTTAAAAGAAGAGACATTAACCATTCCATTTTAACTTAACTATACTAATTCATCAATCTTTTCTTTGGGTTTTTCATTGAGTATAGGTCCATTGATGAAAGTGCTGGGCCATCTTTCTTGTATAAACAGGATCCATATTACATGATAGGCAGTTTCTACTGTCAGTTATAAAGAGAACCTAAAGTCACTTATGAAGCAAACTGAGTAGAAAATATCTTTAGACTTCTATGACTTTCCCCCAAAAATATTTAGTTTCCACTACATCAAATGTGATAGTAATTGTTTACAACTCAATTAATTATTTATTTTATTTATTTATTTCCTCCTCCTCCCTCCTCCCTCCTCCTCCTCCTCCTTCTTCTTTTTCTCTAATGTTGCCTAGGCTGGTCTCAAGCTTTGGACCTTGAGCAGTCCTCCTGCTTCAGCCTCCCAAAGTGCTGGGATTACGGGTGTGAGCCACCATGCTCAGCCCTACAATTCACTCTTTACTGAGTCTTTCTAAAGCATTCAACTTAATTTTCATAAAAGTAACTTTCATTTCCCATATTTATTTCCTAAGGTTATAAAATGTAAGTGCAATTAAATTTTGCAATTACAGGGCCGGGCGCGGTGGCTCACACCTATAATCCCAGCACTTTGGGAGGCCGAGGCGGGTGGATCACGAGGTCAAGAGATTGAGACCATCCTGGTCAACGAGGTGAAAACCCGTCTCTACTAAAAATACAAAAATTAACTGGGCATGGTGGTGCACGCCTGTAGTCCCAGCTACTCGGGAGGCTGAGGCAGGAGAATTGCTTAAACCAAGAAGGCGGAGGTTGCAGTGAGCCGAGATCATGCCATTGCACTCCAGTCTGGGTAACAACAGGGAAACTCTGTCTCAAAAAAAAAAAAGAAATTTTGCAATTACAGTAACAAATGCATCTGACATTAATAGATTTGAAATGAAAAGCACTGACCCTTGGTAAGGATACACTAAATCATGGGAGTAGAAAAGTACACATGTCCTCAAGAGTAGCCATTTGGTCACAAACCTAGTGCACACCATGTGAATAAGTACATTTAGTCTCCAAACATTTTGGCACCAGGGACCAGTTTCATGGAAGACAGTTTTTCCAGAGACCAGGGGAGTTGGTTTTGGGATGATTCAAATGCATTACATTTATTGTGCTCTTTATTCCCATTATTATTACATTGTAATATATAATGACATAATTATATAAGTCACCATCATGTAGAATCAGCGGTAGCCCTGAGCTTGTTTACCTGCAACTAGACAGTCCCATCTGGGGTTGAGGGGAAACTGTGACAGATCATCAGGCATTAATTTTCACAAGGAGTGCTTAACCTGGATCCCTTACATATGCAGTTCACAATAGGATTTGCGCTCCTGTAAGAATCTAATACCACCGCTGATATGCCAGGAGGTGGAGCTCAGGCAGTAATGTTTGCTCACTGACCACTCACCTCCTGCTATACAGACCAGCTCCTGACAGGTCATAGACCAATACTGTGACCCAGGAGTTGGAGACAGCTGTTTTAGAGAGAAAGAAGAGCATCAGATAACTTGGAGAGTTCATTACAAGATCTACTGTATTAAATCCTCAGCATTTACCACATTGCCTGATGCAAAAGAAAAAAATCGATAAATATTTGTCAAGTCAATAGTATCTACCACTCAAGGGTGCTGCAAGACCTGAATGAGCAACAGCCATGCAGGCTCATTTGGACATTGGCATTTGGTAAATGTTATTGCCTTTCCCTTTCCCACTGTTCAAGACATTTTATTTATTTGTAACCCATCTAAATCAAAAATAATTTGAAAGGTGAGAGATGTTTACAGAAGTTATTGCTTGTTTAGATATTCATTCAAAAGGAGTTTTGAGCTGTTCAGTTTTCCAAATATGAAGGAGACATAAGTGAAGACATGGCCCTGGACTGTAAGGAGCTCACCACCTTGCTTCTCACCCCAAAAATGAGCTAGCAACAAAACCCTGCAACACGAATTATACAAAGAGAAATTCAGGTAGCTGACAAATCTTTCCTCAATTTAATTTTCATTAAAAATAAAAGAGAGGGCTGGATGCAGTGGTTCACATCCATAATCTCAGTACTTTTGGGAGGCCAAGCAGGAGGATTGATTGAGACCAGGAGTTCAAGACTAGTCTGGGCAACATAGCAATATCCCTATCTCTATGACATACATATATTTAAAAATTAGCTGGACATGGTAGCATGCATCTGTATAGTCCTAGCTACTCAGGAGACTGAGGCTAGAGGATCCCTTGAGCCCAGGAGTTTGAGGCTGAAGTGAGCTATGATCACACCACCACATTTCAGCTTGAGCAACAGAGCAAGACCTTGACTCGGGTCGAGGGGTGGGGGGGAGGCTTTGCAGTATAAGCATTTTGGCAGAACTAATAAAGAATGTGCCTCTGTCTTAAGATAATGCATTCCTCTCTAATCTGTAAAATAGGGCACGTATCAGAAAATATTTGCCAATCAAGTACATTTTATAGCTGATCTAAAGTGCTTATAATCATACCAAAGAATAGAATCTCTCATCAGCTTAGGCTTTCTCAAGTAAGAAAGAATAAGATGGACCTTAATTTTTAATTTTAATTATTGCAGTGTCACAGAGTGAAGGTCATTTTGCCCAATCGTCCCATGTAATAAAGCGTATTGCCATATGTAGAACATACAGCTAACTGAGATTTCACTTTGGTTTCTGAGATTTAACCCTGTTATAATATTGGCTATGTGAACCTGAGAAATGAAAAACTGTGATGTCTTTTTGGAAATGGAAAAAAGTTGCCCAGGGCAAACAAGCATGGATATCTTATTATATTCTGCTCCCTGGTTCCTAGTGATGCCTCTTATGATTGTCTTTCAGATATGTGATTTGTAGTGGTAATATAACTGAGATATGCAGACTCTGATAGGTCCTGACTACATGTGATGTTTTTGTAGCTAACATTTGAATAAATATACTTACTGCTGATTGAACTTTAGTAAATTTGCATCGACCATATCAGCTAGTGGCAGGATAAACAAGGAAACGGAAGCTTGCACAATCACCCTAGAAAGAAATGTTAAAACACATATGAAAATTTTACATCTAGAAGGCATCGCTTTTGTTAAAAAAGAAAAAAAGTGCGGCTGGGCACGGTGGCTCAAGCCTGTAATCCCAGCACTTTGGGAGGCCGAGGCGAGTGGATCACTAGGTCAACAGATCGAGACCATCCTGGTCGACATGGTGAAACCCCGTCTCTACTAAAAATACAAAAAATTAGCTGGGCGTGGTGGTGCGTGCCTGTAATCCCAGCTACTCAGGAGGCTGAGGCAGGAGAATTGCCTGAACCCAGGAGGCGGAGGTTGCGGTGAGCTGAGATCGCGCCATTGCACTCCAGCCTGGGTAACAAGAGCGAAACTCCGTCTCAAAAGAAAAAAAGTGAAAGTTGACATTTGATTTGCAAGAAGGTAAGAGAAAATCATATACTATAAAAGTAAAGCTGCGAGGCACAGTGGCTCAAGCCTGTAATCCAGCACTTTGGGAGGCTGAGGCAGGCAGATACCAAGGTCAGGAGTTTGAGACCAGCCTGACTAACATGGTGAAACCCGTCTCTACTAAAAATATAAAAATTAGCTGAGCATGGTGGCACATGCCTGTAATCCCAGCTACTCAGGAGGCTGAGGCAGGAGAATCGCTTGAACCCAGGAGGCAGAGGTTGCAGTGAGCCAAGATCGTCCCACTGCACTCCAGCCTGGTGATAAAGCAAGACTCTGTCTCAAAAAAAAAAAAAAAGTAAAGCTATATTAGTCATACACTTATATCCTCCCAAATATTATATATCTATGAATATATAATTCTCTTTTTAAAATGAAATAACTATTCACTTGGAACTTTTAAAAATGATTTTTATGCTTTTTCCTCATTCCAAATGACTAAACTCATTTAATCTGCTTAAATTATTAATAGATTCTAAAGGACAGGACATGCCAGTGAAATTCATCACACAGATATCTTTCTCTTGATATCAAAAATAGGATAAGTTAAGAACTGGGGAAGGGCATATAGCATTTTAATTATGATAGAAGAATAAAAACAAGGGGGATGGTTTAAGTGAAAAAAAGCAAACAAAAATTTTCATTCTAAAAATTACTATAAAATGTCATTTTACATATTCTACAGCCAGGGGCACTCTTGCAGACTTATAGAATAGTTATCTACCTGGGGTTCTAATGTCTTTAAGTTTCATAGAGACTCAATCATTTGAGTCAATTATTACAGTCTCTACTACCAGTTTGTTCAAAATGCAAATTTATCTTCATGAAAATTTTCTCAAGTTGTTCCAGCAGGGACCTGGAATAGAATTTATTAATTCATTCACTCAAAACACATTTTCTAGCCAGGTGCAGTGGCCTGTAATCCCAACATTTTGGGAGGCTGAGGCAGGCGGATTAGTCAGGAGTTCACGACCAGCCTGGCCAACATGGTGAAACCCCATCTCTACTAAAAATACAAAAATTAGCCCAGTGTACTGGCTGGTGCCTGTAGTCCCAGCTACTCTGAGGCCGAAGCAGGAGAATTGCTTGAAGCTGGGAGATGGAGAGTGCAGTGAGCCGAGATCATACCACTGCACTCTAGCTTGGGCAACAGAGTGAGAGTCTGTCTCAAATAAAACCAAACCAAACAAACAAACAAAATTTTACTTTATTTTTTGAGGCAGGGACTCACTCTGTCACCCAGGCTGGAGTGCAGTGGCATGATTTCAGCTCACTGCAGCCTCCACCTCTTGGGCTCAGGTGATCCTCCCACCTCAGCCTCCTGAGTATCTAGGTCTACAGGTGTGCACCACCATACCTGGCTAAATTTTTATTTTTGTAGGGACAGGGTTTTGCCATGTTGCCCAGGCTGGTCTTGAACTCCTGGGCTCAAGTGACCCTCCTACCTCGGCCTCCTAAAGTGTTGGGATTATAGGCATGAGCCACTATGCCTGGCCTAAAACACATTTTCTAAGGACCAACTATTTGTAGGAGCTACAGTAAGTTATGGTGATAAAAGTGATAAGTAGATCACTTAAATAGATGAATAGATCCTATTCACAATAAACTCAATCCAGTGGGTACCACAGGTAGTCACATGTAGAGGGGAAAACACTACAGCAGAAATAAGCATAGGGCACTGGAGTCATATAGGAGGGGCACCTAATCCAGATGAGGAAATCAGGGAAGGCTTCCTGGAGAAGCACATACATGAGCTGTGGCCTAAGACACATGAGGAGAGAACAAAATAAGAAATGGGGAAGAGCTTTCCAGGCACAGGGAACTCCATCTTCTAGACACAGAGGTGTCTGAACAGGAACTGCAACGTATTTCTGTATGGCAGGGAGTACGGTGTAAGTTGAGGAGTAACAAGAAATGAAGATGAAGGCCAGGCACAGTGGCTCATACCTGTAACCCCAGCACTTTGGGAGGCCAAGGTGGGCAGATGCTTGAGCCCAGGAGTTCAATACCAGCCTGGGTAACATAGCAAAACCCTATCTTCACAAAAAGTAAAAATTAAGCTGGGCATGATAGTACACACCTGTAGTCCCAGCTATTTAGGAGGCTGAGGTGGGAGGATCACCTGAGCCCAAGAGGTGGAAGCTATAGCGAGCCATGATCATGTCATTGTACTCCAGCCTGGGCAACAGAGCAAGTCCCTGTCTCAGAAAAAAAAAAAGAAGAAGAAATGAAGATGAAAAGGTAAAGAGGGACTATATAACAAGACATCATATGTCATCATTTCAAAATACCCGGAAAGCAGTGAGAAGTCACTTAAGATTATTAAGCAAAGGAAGGGCATGTTATTCTAGAAGCAATATGAGAGGAGTTGGAGAGACTGGAGAGTATAAACAAGGGAGTCATATGGGAAGACTGTATTCTATTCCATGTAAGAGATGAGCTACAGGAATGTCAGTGGAACCAAAGAGGGAGGGATTCAGGGCACATTAGGGAGATAAAACTGCGAATAATTAGCAGTGTGTTGGACCTAGACGTCAAAGAAGAGAGAAAAGGCAAAGACAACTTCTCAGTCTCTGACTTGGGCAATAAGTAGATGGCAGAGCCATTTCCTGAGATGGCAAATAATGGCAAAAGAGCAGATATGGCAACAAGATCCTTGATTTGGATATGCAGGATTTGAGATGCCTGTGATGGAGGCAGAGTGGGTGGTTGAGGGAGGAGGAGAGGTTGCAGAAATAGGAGGAAGAGTTGAAGGAGGAATAGGAAGTTCAGCCTCTTTTATATGTGGCAGCAGCATTTACTGTATTTTTTTGAGACAGGGTCTCACTCCATCACCTAGGCTGGAGTACAGTGGCGCAGTCACAACTCACTGCAGCCTTGAATTTGTAGACTCAGGTATGGTCCTTCTGCCTCAGCCACTGGAGTAGCTCAGACCACGGGCATGTGCCACCAAAAATTTAAAAATTTTTTTTGTAAAGATGGGGTCTTACTATATTGCCTAGCCTAGTCTCAAACTCCTGGTCCTAAGCAATCCTCCCACCTCAGCCTTCCAAGTAAAATTTTTTTAATGAGTTAAAAATAAGTAAGTTTACTACAAAATTTAATGTATGAAATTCCTTCAAAAAACAAGCCATTAACATTCAGACAATTTATCAGAAAGGTACAATGACCTTGCCTAGAAATGAATATTAAACTCAGTCCTGATCAAAAATGTTTCACTGCTTGAAAGGGTAAATGGTAAAATTTAGTGTAATTTTGAGAATGGAACCAGTATTTGCTTACATGATAATAGTGAGATAAAGAGCCAAACAGTAATAATATTGCTGTCCCAGGATTGCATTACAATGGAGGCTGTTACTTCTAGGTAGAAAGAAATTAAGATAATCTTTTTTTTATATTTTTTTAATTGCATTTTAGGTTTTGGGGTACATGTGAAGAACATGCAAGATAGTTGCATAGGTACACATGTGGCAGTGTGATTTGCTGCCTTCCTCCCCTTCACCTATATCTGGCATTTCTCCCCATGCTGTCTCTCCCCAACTCCCCACCCCCCGCTGTCCCTCCCCTATTCCCCCCAACAGACCCCAGTGTGTAGTGCTTCCCTCCCTGCGTCCATGTGTTCTCATTGTTCAACACCCACCTATGAGTGAGAACATGCGGTATTTCATTTTCTGTTCTTGTGTCAGTTTGCTGAGAATGATGTTCTCCAGATTCATCCATGTCCCTAGAAAGGACACAAACTCATCGTTTTTGATGGCTGCATAGTATTCCATGGTGTATATGTGCCACATTTTCCCTGTCCAGTCTATCATCGATGGGCATTTGGGTTGGTTCCAGGTCTTTGCTATCATAAACAGTGCTGCAATGAACGTTTGTGTGCATGTGTTCTTATAGTAGAACGATTTATAATCCTTTGGATATATACCCAGTAATGGGATTGCTGGGTCAAATGGAATTTCTATTTCTAGGTCCTTGAGGAATCACCACACTGTCTTCCACAGTGGTTGAACTAATTTACACTTCCACCAACAGTGTAAAAGTGTTCCTATTTCTCCATATCCTCTCCAGCATCTGTTGTCTCCAGATTTTTTAATGATCGCCATTCTAACTGGTGTGAGATGGTATCTCAATGTAGTTTTGATTTGCATTTCTCTAATGACCAGTGACGATGAGCATTTTTTCATATGTTTGTTGGCCTCATGTATGTCTTCTTTTGTAAAGTGTCTGTTCATATCCTTCGCCCACTCTTGAGTGGGCTTGTTTGTTTTTTTCTTGTAAATCTGTTTGAGTTCTTTGTAAATTCTGGATATCAGCCCTTTGTCAGATGGGTAGACTGCAAACATTTTTTCCCATTCTGTTGGTTGCCAATTCACTCTAATGACTGTTTGTTTTGCTGTGCAGAAGCTGTGGAGTTTCATTAGGTCCCATTTGCCTATTTTGGCTTTTGTTGCCAATGCTTTTGGTGTTTTGGTCCTGAAGTCCTTGCCTACACCTATGTC